TAGAGATTAGAACAAATTTGTTACTTCTGTGCCATGTGTTTGTCTGTCTGGTTGGTTGGTTGGTTGTTTGAAGGACCGTGTGCTGTGGCTGGCAGTTGGAAGCTGTGAGCTTCAAAGGAAGGTTTGAACAGGTCGTGCAGGGGAGGGGGAGTGGCACTATATGTGAAAGAAAATGTAGAATCAAATGAAGTAAAAATCTTAAGTGAATCCACATGTTCCATAGAATCTCTATGGATAGTAATTTCATGCTCTAATAAGAATATAACATTAGGGATCTATTATCGACCACCTGACCAGGACAGTGATAGTGATGATGAAATGCTAAGGGAAATTAGAAAGGCTATCAAAATTAAGAACTCAATAATAGTGGGGGATTTCAATTATCCCCATATTGACTGGGAACATGTCACCTCAGGACGAAATGCAGAGACAAAATTTCTCGATGCTTTAAATGACTGCTTCTTGGAGCAGCTGGTACGGGAACCCACAAGAGGAGAGGCAACTCTAGATTTAGTCCTGAGTGGAGCGCAGGAGCTGGTCCAAGAGGTAATAATAACAGGACCACTTGGAAATAGTGACCATAATATAATAACATTTAAAATCCCTGTCATGGGAAGAACATCTCAACAGCCCAACACTGTGGCATTTAATTTCAAAAAGGGGAACTATGCAAAAATGAGGGGGTTAGTTAAACAGAAATTAAAAGGTACAGTGACTAAAGTGAAATCCCTGCAAGCTGCATGGGCACTTTTTAAAGACACCATAATAGAGGCCCAACTTAAATGCATACCCCAAATTAAGAAACACGGTAAAAAAACTAAAAAAGAGCCACCGTGGCTTAACCACCATGTAAAAGAAGCAGTAAGAGATAAAAAGACTTCCTTTAAAAAGTGGAAGTCAAATCCTAGTAAGGTAAATAGAAAGGCGCATAAAGACTGCCAAATTAAGTGTAAAAATGTAATAAGAAAAGCCAAAGAGGAAGAACGGCTAGCCAAAAACTCAAAAGGTAATAACAAAATGTTTTTTAAGTACATCAGAAGCAGGAAGCCTGCTGAACAACCAGTGGGGCCCCTCGATGATAGAGATAGAAAAGGAGTGCTTAAAGATGATAAAGTCATTGCGCGGAAACTAAACCAATTCTTTGCTTCAGTCTTCACGGCTGAGGATGTTAGGGAGATTCCCAAACCTGAGCCAGCTTTTGTAGGTGACAAATCTGAGGAACTGTCACAGACTGAAGTGTCACGAGAGGAGGTTTTGGAATTAATTGATAAACTTAACATTAACAAGTCACTGGGAACAGATGGCATTCACCCAAGAGTTCTGAAAGAATTCAAATGTGAAATTGCGGAACTATTAACTAGGGTTTGTAACCTGTTCTTTAAATCGGCTTTTGTACCCAACGACTGGAAGATAGCTAATGTAACACCAATATTGAAAAAGGGCTCTAGAGGTGATCCCGGCAATTACAGACCTCTAAGTCTAACGTCGGTACCGGGCAAATTAGTCGAAACAATAGTAAAGAATAAAATTGTCAGACACGTAGAAGAACATAAACTGTTGGGCAAAAGTCAACATGGTTTCTCTAAAGGGAAATCGTGTCTTACTAATTTATCAGAGTTCTTTGAAGGGGTCAACAAACATGTGGACCAGGGGGATCCAGTGGACATGGTGTACTTAGATTTCCAGAAAGCCTTTGACAAGGTCCCTCTCCAAAGGCTCTTACGTAAATTAAGTTGTCATGGGATAAAAGGGAAGGTCCTTTCATGGATTGAGAACTGGTTAAAAGACAGGGAACAAAGGGTAGGAATTAATGGTAAATTCTCAGAATGGAGTGGGGTAACTAGTGGTGTTCCCCAAGGGTCAGTCTTAGGACCAATCCTATTCAACTTATTCATAAATGATCTGGAGAAAGGGGTAAAAAGTAAGGTGGCAAAGTTTGCAGATGATACTAAACTGCTCAAGATAGTTAAGACCAAAACAGACTGTGATGAACTTCAAAAAGATCTCACAAAACTAAGTGATTGGGCAACAAAATGGCAAATGAAATTTAATGTGGATAAATGTAAAGTAATGCACATTGGAAAAAATAACCCCAACTATACATACAATATGATGGGGGCTAATTTAGCTACAACAAATCAGGAAAAAGATCTTGGAGTCATCGTGGATAGTTCTCTGAAGATGTCCACGCAGTGTGCAGACGCGGTCAAAAAAGCAAACAGGATGTTAGGAATCATTAAAAAGGGGATAGAGAATAAGACGGAGAATATATTATTGCCCTTATATAAATCGATGGTATGCCCACATCTTGAATACTGTGTACAGATGTGGTCTCCTCATCTCAAAAAAGATATACTAGCACTAGAAAAGGTTCAGAGAAGGGCAACTAAAATGATTAGAGGTTTGGAGAGGGTCCCATATGAGGAGAGATTAAAGAGGCTAGGACTTTTCAGCTTGGAAAAGGAGACGACTAAGGGGGGATATGATAGAGGTATATAAAATTATGAGTTATGTGGAGAAAGTAGATAAGGAAAAGTTACTTATTCCCATAATACAAGAACTAGGGGTCACCAAATGAAATTAATAGGCAGCAGGTTTAAAACAAATAAAAGGAAGTTCTTCTTCACGCAGCGCAGAGTCAACTTGTGGAACTCCTTACCTGAGGAGGTTGTGAAGGCTAGGACTGTAACAGCGTTTAAAAGAGAACTGGATAAATTCATGGAGGTTAAGTCCATTAATGGCTATTAGCCAGGATGGGTAAGGAATGGTGTCCCTAGCCTCTGTTTGTCAGAGAGTGGAGATGGATGGTAGGAGAGAGATCACTTGATCGTTACCTGTTAGGTTCACTCCCTCTGGGGCACCTGGCATTGGCCACTGTCGGTAGACAGGATACTGGGCTAGATGGACCTTTGGTCTGACCCAGTACGGCCATTCTTATGTTCTTATGCACATATTAATATCAACCAAAAGGAAAAATGGAACAGTATTAACACTGGTTCTTAGTAAAACCTGGGCAACTCTCATTGCTCCTATTCTCATATTGTTAAGGAAATAACTAACTCCAAATCTCCTGTAGTTAAAATGATGAACTGAGTAATGGGGATCCCCCCACCAATGATTCAGAGCTCAACTGGATTTTGACAGACTAATAAGTCTTTTTAAAATTAACCTTATGATTAACCAAAAAACCCTTTTTTAAAAAGCAAAAAAACCCTACTTCCTGGAAGCTACAACTTTCCAGCTAGCAAACTGGAAGTACAACAGTTAGGGGAGCATATTCTTTGTACTGAAAGCACTGGATTATTAATGCTGATTTTTGGCAAGTTTCCATACATATTTTACAAGATGTAGTTTTAGGGGCTGCTTCTTTAATTTGCAGACAGTTTTCAGAAGAAAATGAGAAATTGTGTACCTCTGATTTGTATTCCTCCCCTTCCTCTTCAATCCAGAATTCTCAAACCAAACCATTAAATCAGATCATCCCTCCTCCCACCCTACAGCCTGACCTCAGCAATGGACTTCACCTTGAGGGAGCAATCTGGTTTGTAGCAGCAGGGAAGTGGGACAGATCAGAAATGCACCATATTTAGAAAAAAAGGGTGGTCATTTCCATCTTAAATTCCTCATGCCATCTGGTACTAATATTAAGAAATTAAAGTTAACAAAAAGATACATTAATCTGAAAAAATTTAAATGTTATACTGAAGTTTACCTAATCACTGTTTTAGAGGCAGTCCATTATGTCAATGTGGGCAGCCACAAACTATGACACATTGTTGAGGATTGCTAAATGACTCAATTTCCTGAAGGTCTTCATGCCTTAAACATCATTGATAAGAACTTGGCTTGGCTCGACAGGATTGCATACACCAAATAAATAAACATAATCACTAATATCTAACATGTAGTGACTACACATGCCTCACTCAAACACACAAATTTCAAAGAAGAATAAAAGTTTCCATTTTAATTTTTTTTTTAAAAAAAACTTCTTGCCTAATAGCATGACAATGGCATTTCAGATACATCCACAACAACTGAAAATGGGAGAGATTAAAGAAATTTCTTTCACATACATATATAACGGTAGAAAAATATAAAAAAAATGTGTACGTTTGAAGTGTAACAGGCTGTTATTCTAACTCAATACCAGGGTATTCTTGGTGATGCCTTTCTGCCCCCTTGACCACTAATATCCTTTTACAGTTACCTACACATTCCTGCTAGTACCAAATAAGTTTTGCCCAATAAAATATGGGCCTGACAGGTAATCTGGGTAGAGCTGATAGCTGCAGTCTAAAAAACATTTGAAAAGTTTTACCTTTAAGCTGGCCCAGTGCTGTGGTGCCATACAAGAGACTAAGGTTCAGGATCAGACTAACGATTCGCACATCCTGGGGCAGTGGAGGCTGGACACATAGTTGAGGAAGGAAGAGACGGCCAGCCCAACCCCTCACACAGCATCCCTTTCTGGTTAATCCATGGAGTGACAATGACATTGATTTGCCTCATCCTGCCAGTTAATGGCAAGGCACTGCATTGATGGCTCCTAGAAATGGATAGGAGTGATTGGGAATAAAAGGGGGGGGGAAAAAGGGGGCCAGGATGAAGAAACGAGTAAAACCCAGAATCTCTCACCATCTCATTGTCATACCTTACACTGTAATATCATAACTACATGGGGAATGTAAGAACTAGAAATAAAAATAAAATGGTTAATGAGAAAGGAAATTTGCTACCCATTTTAACAACTTATGCAGATATCTAAGAATTTAAATTTTGTTTCCTAAAACAAAAATTCAATACTAGAAACTACAGCAAGCAGGTATTGTAGAACCTGCTTAGTTCATAACCCTGTAGCAAGAGATAAAAGTATTAATTACAATCAACATTTTATATTCTGGCACATGTAGAGTTCACCTTTTCATTATACCAAGAGTATGTTCACAGTTTGCTTTGTATTTAAAATTGTTTGTGTTTAAATAGTTTGCATTACTCACCAAACAATGCCCTGAGCCCCAGATCCTATGGGCTTCAATTGTTGGTACCGTTTTAGTACAGTGAATGTGGAATCTGCGACTTGAACACTGTAAAACTGACTATCACATTTACTGTCACTCATGTTGCAGTGTCATGTAGTTTTTTCCCCCAAGGACCTGGCAGTTTTCAAGATCTTTAAACACAAAAAGAGATATTGAACAATTGTTTATTATAAACAGGAAAATTCGTTAAAATCTTTTCAATATTTTCTGTATAACAATTTTTCAATACATATACCATTTATTAAATGATTTTTTTCATCAGGAATTATTATTAGTGCTTTGGTTTATTATTAATACATAATGTACACATATGTAAGATGGCAAAAATAAATGGACTCTTCACAGATTTAAACAAATTAGGCATTCTTTATCCAGTTACCAGTTCTTGTAAAATAAGATACACAGAAATCTTTATGGATGAAATCACTGCTAAATAGAGCAACTTTTTCCTTCATAACCCCATGAAGCAACTTTCTTTTACTGATTCAAACGGCAGAATTTAACATTCCATGGGACTGTGATTTAACCAGCAACCTTTAAGGGGGAGAATGTAAAACCTATATCTGGAGTTGTTATGCTATTACTATTGTATGTGACTGCAATCTCATGGCAAAATTCAACATTTCTTTGTGCATTTCAAGAGCAGATAACAGGTATGGAAGTCAGTAACACAAAAGGGCAGAGCAGAGTGAGTGGCCTGGCAAGCAATGGGAAAAGCCATGATAACAGGCAGAAACAGAATTGCAAAAAGACATAAAAGTGTGTTCAAGGAGTTTGAAATTTATGCAGAAAGAAGCACAGAGCCAATAAAGGGACTCAAGAGAAGGGATGAGATGATCAGAGCAATAATGGTAGACTTATATCTTAACTTTAGTAAGGTTTTTGATTCTGTCTCGCATGACCTTCTCATAAACAAACTAGGAAAATACAACCTAGATGGAGCTGCTATAGGGTGGGTGCATAACTGGTTGGAAAAGTGTTCCCAGAGAGTAGTTATCAGTGGTTCACAGTCATGTTGGAAGGGCATAACGAGTGGGGTCCCACGGGGATCAGTTCTGGGTCCGTTCTGGTCAATATCTTCATTAATGATTTAGATAATGGCATAGAGAGTACACTTATAAAGTTTGCAGACAGTACCAAGCTGGGAGGGGTTGCAAGTGATTTGGAGGACAGGATTTCCTTTAAGATAAAATTTGAAGGAGGAAAAAAAAGCAACAATTTTTGGCTTTTCAGGTTTGGTTCTTTGACTGTGATCAATACCACAAGGCCCTACTTTTTGCAAGATTCAAGACTGCAGATACTTAATGTTCTAATAAAAACTTTACTATGGTCAATGAGCTATTAAAAAGTCACATTATGTAGATCTACAAATCCTGGAGTTTCCTTCAAAAAAGATTAAGATCTCCTACTCCTTTCACCCATCTTTCTACAAAAGAGAAATTCCATGCATGTTCAGTTGAGAATAAAATATTGAGAAATTCCAAGAGCTAAACTAGAAATAAATCTATAACCATATAAATCATGGAAAGAAGTCCCACATGTGCAGTACAACAAATTTCAAGTACCAATACTAAATTAATCAAGTTACAAGAGAAGACAGCCAAAACATACCACTTTAAAAATAAAGAGAAGATTTTCATAAAAATAGTCTCTAAACAATAAAAAAAAACATTTACCAGACAGTACCTCTCCAGCCATTTCAAATTTGGTTCATACAGCATCCATGAGAGTCTATAATAAGATGTAAATACACTATACAGACTATTTCTACACTATGTAGACTATGCTGGCATAGCTACATTGACATAGCTATGTCAGCATAATGGTGTATGTAGATGCAGCCTACACAGTGTAGGAACACCATCTCCCTGAGCAATGGCAGCTATGTCGACAGAAGCATTCTTCCATCAACCCTACCTGCATCTACACTGGAAGTTAGGGTCAGCATAGGTATGTCAGTCAGGCATGCGAAAACACACACTCCTGACAACGTAATTATGTTGACCCAACTTTTAAGAATAGGACAGGCCTGTGCAATGTTGACTACTTCAAAGTAGCAGTCTCAAGGACTTGCTAACTAACAACATTCTAAAGATAACTGTAGTTTCTCAAAAAACGTTCTCTAAACTCGCATGTTGTTACCTATTGTCTCGGCTGTTTCATTTACTAAACTGATGAGTTAAAGATTGACATGATACATTCAGAAGGCTATTTTCTTTTGGACATTTTAAGAAATTCTGTTCAATGGCACAGGTGTATAGTTAAAGAATTACCAGTTGGGTTTGAACGTTTGTTTTTTCTAAAGCCACCAATTTTCACATAAATCTGCATCAAAAAAGTCTTTTGAAGAGCCACGTCCTCATGTTTTAACACATCCAGTTCTGTTTTTGAGGACCAATTATTTCTAGTCAATCGATGACATATTTATTTGCCTATTACTACAGAAATAAACATAACCAGCAGACACCTGTCTAAGGGCAGGTACGATCAGTAAAATTCCAGTCTCCTTTCTCTCCACCATATGAACAGTTCATTCTTAACTGGCAGGATTGCAAGAGTTAAATCAGCCAGTCACCTCTTTGCCTCATACAAAGAAGGAAGAGAGGCAAAGAATTTGCAATGTAATTTCTAATCAACACAACATGGGCCGGCTCTAGGTTTTTTGCCGCCCCAAGCAAAAAAAATTTGGCTGGCCCCCGTCCCAGCCCTGGGCTCCTCGCCGCACCCCCCTGCTGCCCCAACCCTGGGCTCTCCCCCACCACCCGCACCCCCCTGCTGCCCCAGCTTTGGGCTCTCACCCCCCCACCTGCCGCCCCAGCCCTGGGCTCTCCCCCACGCACACACCCTGCCGCCCCAGCTCTGAGCTCCCCCCTACCCCCCCACCATTGCCCCCCACACACCTCCTGCCACCCCAGCCCTGGGCTCTGCCCCCCTCCCCCCCACCCTGCACCCTCCTTCCGCCGCAGCCCTGGGTCACTGGTAACTTGCTCCCAGGGCGGGTCATTCAGCAGGAATTTTGGATGTGCACAGAACACCGACAGGACTGGTTCCCATATGGTTACAGAACTGCAGTAAAGTGGAACAATTTTCAGCTTGTGTGATTGGAGGATATCTGGATGCATATTATAAGACTGTCCTACATAAATGAGGAAAAGTTGAGGTGCCTTTATTATTCTTTTGTTCCATTCTTTCTTTCTATGGGGAATTTGCCAATGCAATATCACTGTCTTCCTTTTAAACAAAAAAACAAACAAACAAAAGGCAATGGCTATTGAAAATAGCAATTCCAGTCCTAATAACCACTGGGAAGCATTTCTTGCTCAATTTTATCCTATTTTTTCTATAGCAAGTTACAGTGGATCAGTATATTTGATTTGGGAGAAATGAAGTAACAGCCGCCTAAACTGAGCTTGACCACTCTGAATTTTGAGGTGTTCAAATCTGGAAGGCAGGTGCTGGGGGAGGCTGTGGCTCCGCAGGGGAGCACGGCAGCATGTATGCAGCAGCGTGTTTGGCGCTGCGCGAAGCCAGACACGCTGGTCTGAGTGGCACGGTAAGGGGGCTGGGGGGTTGGAGAAGGGGTAGGGGGTTCCGGGGGGGCAGTCAAGGGACAAGGAAAAGGGGGGTTAGATGGGTCAGGCATTTGGGGGGGGCAGTCAGGGGACAGGCAGCAGTTGGATAGGCATGGGAGTCCCAGGGGTTTGTCAGGGGACAGGTCCTAGGGAGGAAGTTGGGGGGGGTCTCAGGAGGGGGCATTTGTGGATAAGGAGAAGGGAGACTTGGGTGGGGTCCCGGGAGGGGGCAATCAGGGGACAAGGACCAGTGGGGCTTAGATAGGGGGTGGAGTCCTGGGGGGCAGTTGGGGCAGGGGTCCCGGGAGGGGATGATCAGGGGACAGGGAGCAGGGGAGTTGGATGGGTTGGGGTTTCTGTGGGGGGTAGTGGATGGTGGCAGGGTGGGGCTACCCTCCCTCCCCATGGAGTGTCCTATTTTTTGAATGTTAAAATATGGTATCCCTACTCACAGTGCAGCTCTCCATTCAAGGCAGGCTGCAGTGTGAGGTCTCAGCTTCTTCACTCCCTCCCCCTCTTTCCTGTCGGTAGTGGCCAAGGGAATGCTGGGAAATGTAGTTCTTTCCCTCCTCCAGGGCTGGCTCTATAGGCAGGGAGCTAACCAAGGAACTACATCTCCCAGGGCCCCCTGTTGGTTCTCAGCTCCCATGCTGGATCCCTGCCACCCCCGCAAATGGGCTGCCCCAAGCACGTGCTTGCTTTGCTGGTGCCTAGAGCCGCCCCTGAACACAACATATCCTTAACTGTGATTCACATAATTCTTTGCTGGTAGCCTGCAAAAAGAAAAACAGACTGGTGATAGTTCTCATACATGTTTCCAATACTATGTAGTAGCTGAAGACAGTTAAAATACATACATGGAAAACTAATATTAGTGAACTAATTGCTGCAATTACCATAGCAATATAACACAATTTGAAATGGGAACAGAAGTGGCCCACAGGATCCTGAATGGGAAGAAAGTGTCATTAGACCATCTCTCAATAAGCAACAATGTTGGTCAGACAATGAAAAAAGTTACTGTTTAGTTTTGTTTTTTTTAATTAAAAGCCTCATCTATGATCAGATTTTGGATGACATTTTCATTATTCTGGCACCTTTCAGAACAAAAATCACTTAACATAAGAGACAGTGAAAACATTTCATTGTTTTTTTCAGATACACCTATATTCACACAAATTAAATCAGTATTTGTTATAATGGGCCTAGTATTATCTATAATACTGACTAGGTTTACTGTATTCTCCATGAAAATATTTGAGATTTTAAATTTATTTTAAAACCAGAATCAAGACTGTCACACAAGGGCAAAAAGACACCATCTTGTTCACATTCCTTTACCAGCTACTGACAATTCCCTGCCTGCTGAGGAAAAGTGATGCCAAATTACAAAAAAAGGTAAACAGTAAACACTACATAGGTTTCAAAATCTGACAATCCATTGTGTCTAGAATTTAGATAAATCATCAGCAAAGTGTCACATATAACAATGCAAACATCTAGACGTTCTTGGCACAGTTTTAGGGCTCAAAGTACTTTCAGAAAGAACACCACATACT